ATGACCTCCAACAGTCACACACAAATCAGACATGACCTCCAACAGTCACGCACAAATCAGACATGACCTCCAAGAACAGTCACACACAAATCAGACATGACCTCCAAGAACAGTCACACACAAATCAGACATGACCTCCAACAGTCACACACAAATCAGACATGACCTCCAAGAACAGTCACACACAAATCAGATATGACTTCCAGCAACAGTCACACACAAATCAGACATGACCTCCAGCAACAGTCACGCACAAATCAGACATGACCTCCAACAGTCACACACAAATCAGACATGACCTCCAAGAACAGTCACACACGAATCAGATATGACTTCCAGCAACAGTCACACACAAATCAGATATGACTTCCAGCAACAGTCACACACAAATCAGACATGACTTCCAACAACAGTCACACACAAATCAGACATGACTTCCAGCAACAGTCACGCACAAATCAGACATGACTTCCAGCAACAGTCACACACAAATCAGACATGACCTCCAACAGTCACACACAAATCAGACATGACCTCCAAGAACAGTCACGCACAAATCAGACATGACCTCCAAGAACAGTCACACACAAATCAGACATGACCTCCAACAGTCACGCACAAATCAGACATGACCTCCAAGAACAGTGACACACAAATCAGATATGACTTCCAGCAACAGTCACACACAAATCAGACATGACCTCCAACAGTCACGCACAAATCAGACATGACCTCCAGCAACAGTCACGCACAAATCAGACATGACCTCCAACAGTCACACACAAATCAGACATGACTTCCAGCAACAGTCACGCACAAATCAGACATGACTTCCAGCAACAGTCACACACAAATCAGACATGACCTCCAAGAACAGTCACGCACAAATCAGACATGACCTCCAACAGTCACGCACAAATCAGACATGACCTCCAAGAACAGTCACACACAAATCAGACATGACTTCCAAGAACAGTCACACACAAATCAGACATGACCTCCAAGAACAGTCACGCACAAATCAGACATGACTTCCAGCAACAGTCACGCACAAATCAGACATAACTTCCAACAGTCACACACAAATCAGACATGACTTCCAGCAACAGTCACGCACAAATCAGACATGACTTCCAGCAACAGTCACACACAAATCAGACATGACCTCCAACAGTCACACACAAATCAGACATGACCTCCAAGAACAGTCACGCACAAATCAGACATGACCTCCAAGAACAGTCACACACAAATCAGACATGACCTCCAACAGTCACACACAAATCATACATGACCTCCAAGAACAGTCACACACACATCAGATATGTCTTCCAGCAACAGTCACACACAAATCAGACATGACTTCCAGCAACAGTCACACACAAATCAGACATGACCTTCAGCAACATTCACGCACAAATCAGACATGACTTCCAGCAACAGTCACGCACAAATCAGACATGACTTCCAGCAACAGTCACGCACAAATCAGACATGACTTCGAACAGTCACACGCAAATCAGACATGACCTCCAAGAAAAGTCACACACAAATCAGATATGACTTCCAGCAACAGTCACACACAAATCAGACATGACTTCCAGCAACAGTCACACACAAATCAGACATGACCTCCAGCAACATTCACGCACAAATCAGACATGACTTCCAGCAACAGTCACGCACAAATCAGACATGACTTCCAGCAACAGTCACGCACAAATCAGACATGACTTCCAGCAACAGTCACGCACAAATCAGACATGACTTTCAGCAACAGTCACGCACAAATCAGACATGACCTCCAAGAACAGTCACGCACAAATAAGACATGACCTCCAAGAACAGTCACACACAAATCAGACATGACCTCCAAGAACAGTCACACACAAATCAGACATGACCTCCAAGAACAGTCACGCACAAATCAGACATGACTTCCAGCAACAGTCACGCACAAATCAGACATAACTTCCAACAGTCACACACAAATCAGACATGACTTCCAGCAACAGTCACGCACAAATCAGACATGACCTCCAAGAACAGTCACACACAAATCAGACATGACCTCCAACAGTCACACACAAATCAGACATGACCTCCAACAGTCACACACAAATCAGACATGACCTCCAAGAACAGTCACGCACAAATCAGACATGACCTCCAACAACAGTCACATTTATAAGCCTCCTAACAAACACAGTCAGTTTCGGTTGTGCTTAGATTGTAACTGTTTCCCTGTCACTGTGCAGATTTCCCCAGTCAGAGCCCCACAAGACATCACACGTGCTATTCGCAGGCAGAAGCAAGCCGCTGGGATTGTCTACTCCAGACCTCCGGAACCTCCCAAACAAGAGTTCAAGGTTGTCCTCAGCGGAGACTTCCACCCTGGGTGCACACGGTTCATTGTGACCTCATCACACTGTCTGAGTAGCGAGCCGGTGACCTGGGGCACTAGCAGCTACCGTCAGCTCGACAGCCAGAGTGCTGACGTTGGTGGCAACCACAGGACCTGCAGAAGAAGCAAGTCATTCAACGATGAAAACTTCCATCCCTTAACGCTGGGGACCGTTAGCCAGGAGCGTCCTGTCACCTGGTCCCGGGGCAGCGACGTGTACAACAGACAAAAGATAGAAGCTGTCCACACAGGCAACACCCGAAGCCGTTATCACAACCTCAGATATCATACGCCACTTCATGTGTTGGGCAGATCAGCGAAAATCGCTGATGCCACCGGGTCATCTTTTCCAAGGCGAAATTCTACCGGAAGTCTTGAATACCAGCATTCATTCCTCTTCCGGTGGTATTGAAATAGCCAGGAAACGGGATCACTTCGACAGCCAAGCTGTTCCTGTTTTAGGTGCTCCACACCAAGCAACAACAGACAACTGTGTTCACAGATCCACACTAGGAGCTTCTCTGCAAGCTAGAAGCAGCAGTCTGCAGTCAAGGGCCAGCTCCGCCGTACAACGATCACATAAAACTGTTGAAACGTCCAGTTTACAGCCAGGCGAGCCGATGCTGGGTCTGCAGTTCGCAGACGCTGTTCTCGATTCCGTGGGTTGGAACCTAGACCGTCTGTACAAACTCTGCCAGAGGAAGTTCCGATACTATGAATACTTCGAACAGTTTCTAGAATGTCCCACATCTAGCGAACAGCCTCAAAGCTTCAATGATTTCGCTGCTTCAGAATCTGCGCGACATTCCATATTACCCAAAATGTCGTCGGTATTGACAAAAACATCATCATCATTTTCGTCACCGAAATTGAGTTTTTCAAATGAACCCGTCGATCTATCTACGAGAAGAATATCCGAATCGAGCTGTCCTCCAGATGATATATTGCCAGACTATAAGCTATACCATCAACAAGTGGGAGCACCAGTTAGCAGTGCTCATCTTCGGCACTTTGTTATGGAGTCGGATCCCGACAGACAGTCGGTGAGTACCTCTAGATCCATCCTGAAGGCACCCAGAATATACCGAGAGAGAGGGCGCTTATTTACCGATAACTTTGCCAATATGGTTGTCAGTGAACGTAGGACCACGACTGAAGGACCATTAGTACCGCATAAAACTGTTAGTGGAGAAGAATTGCTGACTGTTTCCACGGTAACAAGGGTGCCCGGAAGTAGATCTATTAGCAAGGGGAGATTAGTCAGGTTCAGTACTGATGATCAAATACACGAGTTTACTTCCCTTGAACCAGTGGCCTCTGGTTAGTTAACTGTTCAACATCCGGCGTTCAGTCAAACATGGAAATAAATATATAGACGGATGAATGGATGGGTTGATGAATCGAATAATGAATCAGTTGAGTCCAGCCGACATTCCCCGAGCACTGCTTCCCCACCTTTAGACGTCTTAGCCAGGCTCGCTAGCGCAGTTGGCTAAACCGGACTGCGCGGCGACCGGGTGACGACTCCCTGTGGTCCGGGTTGACGCCCAGGGGCAGAAAAACCACATTTCCCTCAGATTTACGGCACCTATCATGGTATCATGGCCGAAAGGTTGCGATATCCATAGTATCGAGCCAAAGGGTAACTCATGCCTTCAGGCAGCAACCGGAGAGGACAAAGTAATCGTTTGAACTCATCTTCGGTTGCCAGCGCAGCGCTGCAATTCCGACAGTTCCAATATCAGTATAACAGTACGTCTGGTTTGCCTTACCCATGAGTAGTGAGTGTCGGCCAGCTGCACTAGTCACTCGCCCGCTGCATGCACCATTCTCTTCGTGAGCATCAGGTTTGTGCTTCGGCACTGTTGACTCGCTTCCAGCAGACCTCTACAACATTTACCTGATGGTTGAATGTTGGTGGAAGGGAGGAGGATAGATAAACAAATCACCACTATCACATGGAGCTTGCCGACTGTCGCGGACAGTCACGATTGTTTACAAATATTAAAAACATTACAACTGACCAAGAAACCAATCAATGCTTGGACATTTAATACTGACCAGTCACAACCAACAGCAGATAGGACTGCACATTTAGATAACTGAGAAACTAAGACTGCAGCAACAATCAATCTACTCATCCTTTTTTGGGGTGCAATTTTTCGTTATTTGGCTCTTGCCAGGGGCCACAATATAGCCTGGCCATAAATATGGTCTAGTGGCTGAACGCAGTTTCTGGGACCTCTCCACAGTGACCCTCATCCACATGGTGGCACCTTGTGTCATCGGGTGTTTATCGCTTGTGTGATGTCCTAGTGGGGTAAAAGAAGAAAGAAAGAAAAGATTGCTGCAATTTTTGTTATTTTGAAGCTCTACCCTGGCTCTTGCCGGGGGCCGCAATATAGCTCAGCCATAAATTTTGCCTAATGGCTGAACGCGGTTTCCGGGACCTCTCCACGGGTTATCCTCATCCACATGGTGGCACTTTGTGACATCGCGTGTTTATCGCTTGTAGGATATCCTAGTGGGGTAAAATATATTACTACTATACTGTTTTACATAACTGTCAAATTCCGACAATTGGTTACCGTAATTGTCACTGCCGGTTTTCCCTCTGTTTTTTTTTCTCTTTGCCGTTGCTTTTACCTTTCTGTTGTGTCTTCAGACGGCGTGCTTTCATTTTCTTGACAGATTTCTTTTTCCTTCTCCTTCTGGTTGTGCTAGAGCTGGACTTGGGGCACTGGTCTCTGTTGTAGCTGCTGAAGCTGGGGTTGAAGGGCGCCTTGGCCAGACATCGGGACAGTTTGAGATCACACTTGCACGTGAAGTAGGCACACGGCGACACTGTCGGCGAATCTGGCAGACGACAATCTCTGTCAATGATTGTATGAAAACACACGCGCACGCACGCACACAAACACACACTCAAATATATATGCATATACATTTTTTAAAGTCTATGGTTAAGCACCAGCAAGGAGATCAAAATTAGAATTTTGAGAGCATGCATCTTCCCTGTGGCTGCATACGGATGTGAGCCGTGGACTATCTCATAGTCCTTAAGAAAGAGAATAGGGGCATTTGAGCTGAAATGCTATAGAAAGATTATTAGAATATTTTGGACAAAGAAGAGGAGAAATACTGACATCTTGAAAGATCTGAACATCAAGGAAGATTGGCTAATAAGGTTTGCACCCAAGTACTTAATATCCGTTTGTTTGATTTTTATTATGAACTTGTATGTCGGAGCATCCTTTCCGGGGGGGGGGGGGGGAGGTGGGGGGTCTTTTTTGTTAATATGCAGTTATCTTTTCGAGAAGAAACACTTTTTTTCAAACGTAATAACAACTGTGACTACATTCAGTAGAGAGTGTGGTTGTTGTAGATGTGGGGAAACAGAATTGGTGAAAGCAATACTAGAGAAAGGTCGTGGATTGTCTCCCCTGAATGACATGCGCACACTCACCTGTACATTGACATCCGGCGGAAGTGCACTCGTACGAGTAGCTCACAAAATGGGGGTACAGCAAGAAGCACTGGATGTTTGTGTAGCAGCGGTCGTGTGATCGGCAACAGCTGCGGGAACAATCAGTCAATCGGTGGATGCATCGTTATATCTTGTCCATCTGTCAGTCACATTTTTACACCATTAAACCATTCAACGTATTTGTCTGACTAACCGTAAGTCTGTCAACCCTTTCACCTTATATTCCTTACGTCCTTCTTAGGACGTTATTTTTTGTTATTTGAAGCCCCACTCTGGCTTTTGCCAGGGGCCGCAATATAGGCAGGTCATCATTATGGCCAAATGTCTGAACGCGGTTTCTGGGACCTCTCCACGGTGATCCTCATCCGCATGGTGGCACTTTGTGTCATCGGGTGTTTATCGCTTGTGTGATGTCCTGGTGGGGTAAAAAACCAATCCAATCCCTTTCACCAGTTCGTCTGCCTATCTGTACATCATTCTCTCTGTCTGTTTATATGCGTTCCAATCTTCATATCTGTCTGTATTTATATGGTTATTTATTTGCACCGTACGCACACGGTTATTTTCCTCGCCCTGTCTCCAAAAAACACAGACAGACGAGTGTGGTGCCAGCCACCCCAGCGGTTATAGGTGACTTGTACCCCTCTCACACACTTGTACCCCTCTCACACACCCGTACCCCTCTCACACACTTGTACCCCTCTCACACACTTGTACAGTGACTACCTTCACCGTTGACACACTGCTTAAGTTAACTCTGCACCCTCTGGTGATACATGAGAACGCAGCATGCTACCAAACATCTTCACACAGTTGACCAGAGGAGGCGACCTGTACAAATACTCGAATGGAATCAGAAGCATCTACTGGATTTGGTTTGGACTTGTAGTTTCAACAACTGCATCAATTTTGTGCTGTGTGTTGTCAGTATGGAGAGACAGTGTAGCGACTTATAGTCAGTACGAAGGAAGGCAGTGTCTCACCCACAAAGATGTCCCAACCCACCCACTGAGATGCCCCACCCCACTCATTGAGATGTCCCACCCGACCCATTGAGATGTCCAACCCCACCCATCGGGATGCCCCACCACACCCATTGAGATGCCCCACCCCACCCATTGAGATGTCCCACCCCACCCAGTAAGATATCCCACCCCACCCATTGAGATGTACCACCCCACCCAGTAAGATATCCCACCCCACCCATTGAGATGTCCCACCCCACCCATTGAGATATCTTACCCACTCATTGAGATGTTCAACCCCACCCATTGAGATGTCCCACCCCACCCATTGAGATGTGCCACCCCACCCATTGAGATGTCCCACCCACCTAGTGAGATATCCCACCCCACCCATTGGGATGCCCCACCACACCCATTGAGATGCCCCACCCCACCCATTGAGATGCCCCACCCCAACCATTGAGATGTCCCACCCCACCCATTGGGATGCCCCACCCCACCCATTGAGATGCCCCACCCCACCTATTGAGATGTCCCACCCCACCCATTGAGATGTCCCACCCCACCCCATGTAAGATATCCCACCCCACCCATTGAGATGTCCCACCCCACCCAGTAAGATACCCCACCCCACCCATTGAGATGTCCCACCCCACCCATTGAGATATCTTACCCACTCATTGAGATGTTCAACCCCACCCATTGAGATGTCCCACCCCACCCATTGAGATGTCCCACCCCACCCATTGAGATGTCCCAACCCACCCATTGAGATGTCCCACCCCACCCATTGAGATGTCCCACCCCACCCAGTGAGATGTCCCATACTTTTAAAAATCAGTCACTACTCGTTCATGATGAGGTCTATATAAGGGCGGTGGTATTTACTTCCTAAAGCATTTCCAAGTATTGCTGTTTTGTGGTTGTTGTTGCTGGGGTTGAGCCTGGGGCCCTGGTCCAGATGTGAAACCTTCCCCCCTGAAGCAGTCTAGTAACAGACAACAAGGGACTGTCCTGGTCTCGGGGCAGCTATGGATGACAACGTTTAAACAAAGCAAAAGTGAAGGACTATTTTCCACACATTCGTGTGTATTGGGCAAATAGGGCTAGAGCTATATTTTATAAACAATAGGCTCTCGATGCGTGATATGGAGAACATCACGTCGACCGCCTTTACTTCCCAGGACTTGACCTGGTACCTATCTAAGGCTGGGACGACCTGAAAACTAAAATCATTTCTGAAAAAATCCATCAGAATCTGAACCCACGATCGTGGGATCCACTGGCGAAGTCTAGCCGCTACACCACGACGGCTCGCCGATGACAAGGTAGCATGCGATAAAGAGCAGACGATGATAGTGCAGACGACGACTACAGCAGAGAAGTACCTGTCGGCGGAGTCCACGGGAGAACTGTCAGCGTTGCCCAGGCCGCAGAAACAACCGTAGTTGTTGTAGTCCCAGCAGGCCCTGTTGGTGTGTACAGACACCAACGTGCACAGTTGCAGGATGTGCCGCTTGGGGCGGCTCAGTGGACCAGCCTCGGCCCAGATACGGCCATCAATTCTCGGGGGAAGCATCGCTGAAAGAAATACAGGAAGCTCTCAATGTAAGCCACCTCAAAGAATGTTAGCTGCAATTAAGTGCGAATGTGGTCAGAAGAACCTCAAAGAATGTTAGCTGCAATTAAGTGCGAATGTGGTCAGAAGAACCTCAAAGAATGTTAGCTGCAATTAAGTGCGAATGTGGTCAGAAGAACCTCTAAGAATGTTAGCTGCAATTAAGTGCGAATGTGGTCAGAAGAACCTCTAAGAATGTTAGCTGCAACTGAGTTCGAATGTGGTCAGAAGAACCTCTAAGAATGTTAGCCGCAACTGAGTTCGAATGTGGTCAGAAGAACCTCTAAGAATGTTAGCTGCAATTAAGTGCGAATGTGGTCAGAAGAACCTCAAAGAATGTTAGCTGCAATTGAGTGCGAATGTGGTCAGAAGAACTCACACAGCCATCAATGTGAGGCTGACGAGGTTTCAGGCTGGTAACTGACACATCCATCATCATTTGCTTGTGTGTTCCCAAATGATGTTGAAAACAATAATAACAGAAATAGCAGGAATTCTCAAACTATTAACTAATGTACGTATAGAAATAACTATATGGAGATTACCTAAGGGTGCAAGATGACCGGATTACAGGAGGTAGAAATGGAGAGGGGCGGGGGGGGGGGGGCGAGCACCAGATGATGAGGATGTGACGTGAAATGGTCAAGCATCAGGGTGATGATGAAGATGTGACGTGAAATGGTCAAGCATGAGGGTGATGATGAGGATGTGACGTGAAACGGGCCAAGATGATGATGATGATGATGTGACGTGAAACGGGCCAGCATGAGGAGGATGATGATATAATCCTGTCAGAACACTGGTCTGAAGTCTGCCAACGTATACCTCTAGTCTGTAAATGAACCCGATCCACATGGACCCGACCGCAGTCAGCCTGGTTGCGGTGTTGGGTCGTGGTCTGGTTATTTTATAATATTCAAGTTCCCGTTTGAAGCCGCTGTTTTTTCCCCTTGGGGAGGAAGGTCTTTAACACAATTATAGGGAGACGTGAAGAAGTGGGGCGGTAGAACATACCTAGAGTAGGGCGGTAGAAGAACATATCTAGAATGTGGCTGTAGGAGAACATACCTAGAGTGTGGCTGTAGGACAATATACCTAGAGTGGGGCTGTAGGACAATATACCTAGAGTGGGGCTATAGGACAATATACCTAGAGTGGGGCTGTAAGACAATATACCTAGAGTGGGGCTGTAGGACAATATACCTAGAGTGGGGCTGTAGAAGAACATACCTAGAGTGGAGCTGTAGGAGAACATTCCTAGAGTGGGACTGTAGGACAATATACCTAGAGTGGGGGCTGTAGGACAATATACCTAGAGTGGGGCTGTAGGACAATATACCTAGAGTGTGGCTGTAGGACAATATACCTAGAGTGGGGCTATTGGACAATATACCTAGAGTGGGGCTGTAGGACAATATACCTAGAGTGGGGCTGTAGGACAATATACCTAGAGTGGGGCTGTAGAAGAACATACCTAGAGTGGAGCTGTAGGAGAACATTCCTAGAGTGGGACTGTAGGACAATATACCTAGAGTGGGGCTGTAGAAGAACATACCTAGAGTGGGGCTGTAGAAGAACATACATAGAGTGGGGCTGTAGAAGAACATACCTAGAGTGTGGCTGTAGGAGAACATTACCTAGAGTGGGGCTGTTGGAGAACTTACCTAGAGTGGGGCTGTAGGTGAACATACCTAGAGTGGGGCGGTAGGAGAACGTACCTAGAGTGGGGCTGTAGGTGAACATACCTAGAGTGGGGCTGTAGGAAAACATACCTAGAGTGGGGCTGTAGGAGAACATACCTAGAGTGGGGCTATGGGAGAACGTACCTAGACTTGCCAGGAAGGCCATCACGGATGTTGCTGTCACCTGCAACTGTCCATCTGGTGGGACTGTCATAGCGGCTCTGAAGAATGGAAATAGTGATGGTTAGTGGGT